CAAGAATTTGCGAACGGGACTTTGGGCATGATGCTCAACGAGTTTGCCTTTGAATTCTAAAGGTCTCTGAAGAGTCTCTTGGCCGAGACGAAACGCCGTGTCAGACTTGCCACGAACATTTCACAAGTATTTGACAATTGTTTGCTTTTGTATAAATTTAACTTGTGAGCGTACGGTTGGGAATCCTTCTGCGATAGCGAGTGAAGCCTGGGTACTAGAGCTTGGTATTGGAAGCGAGGTGAAGAAGACATAAAGACAGATCCACATCACGTAATGATCAAACTACATAGCAAAGATACCAAACAACATAACAGCGTAACCACATTACATCATGACAAGAGCACAAGACATAACTTAACAACCTCAGTACATCACAATAAAACCACACCATGTAATGAAGTTATCACACCACATCATGATAAAAACACATCACATCAGGACTACATTACAGGACATAATGAAGAAACCACAAAACATAATGGAGTACTACAACACATAATGAGGAAACCACACAACATAATGAAGCAACTACAACACATAATGAAGAAACCACACCAAATGATAAACAACCACATAAGAAAGTTACGGCTTTCCATAATTAATGTTGATCTTGGAAAAATTCTTCACCTGAGACACTTGAGTCAGTCGGATGTGAATCGTCATCCTCCATTTTGATTTTTTAAAAAAAAAAAACTGCTGACCTACTTGTCCGACAGCATGCATCTTGCATCCATGATCTGCCCCAGGGGAGGGTATTTGCTTCTTTTTCACAGGAAATTAAAAAAATTGTCTGCTAAAGCATTGTGAAATATGGAAGCAAGGCCAATTTAAGTACTAAAAGCTGCTCCGATTTCTCAGAATTGATAGAAAAGTAGAAACTGCTCAGAATCAGGACGTGACAAAATGGCTGTTGGATAGCCCGGGACTAGTGAAACGATCGGTCGGGCTAGGGCCTTATTATCACAGGTTGCCTGACGGGCAAGCATCAAGTGGACATGAGTGAAACACTGTTGGTTGTTTCTTTTTTTTTTATGACAAACTTCAGACGTTGTGTTTAGCAGACAGTGTGTGAGAGAACATGAAACAACACAAATCTTTTTTTTAAGAGAAAGGAAAATGTAAAATTTAAGCAACCGAAATCAATTAAAATGGTTATTTTTTCCTGATTACAGTGCCTAGGAGAAATAAATAGCTTAAGTCTTGTTATTTATGGCCATGGAATTTCCAAGGGGTATGGGGGCCCAAGTAGAAAAATCATGGAAATTGCAGAGGATGGGAGAGTACCGTGAAGCCCCCCTAGAATGGAAAATACTGGGGGGGGGGGGGGGGNCTCACCCCTCTGGAATTCCAGTTTAGCTTCCTTTAAACATTTTTGCTGTTGATTCAACCTCTCTCCCTCCCCCCCTCCCCCCCTTAGAATTTCTGTTAACCTTCCTTGGGGTGGGTGTGGATATTTTCTGGAACTGCACATTGAGTGTTCTAAATGTTTTATTGTATAAGGCTTACAGTAATTCAAGAGGGAAATCAAAGAGAATTACTTCATCTAAGGACATAATTAACATTATTTTTTCATATTAAATTACTTTAATTATACTTATTAAATAGAATAATTTTGGGCTAGCTCCTCAAAGATTTGGGCTCAAAAGTATTTGAATTTTATCTCACCCTGAGAATGTGTAGTTCCAGAAAATGTCCATCCCCCACCACAGAGGGAGTTTCCTGTAAGCCCTCCACCCCCCGGAATTTCCATTGTTTGAACACAAAANGGAATTTCCAAGGGGTAGGGGGGCCCAAGTAGAAAAATCATGGAAATTGCAGAGGATGGGAGAGTACCGTGAAGCCCCCTAGTATTATGTACACCCTCTGTACCCTCTGAAAAAATAGTTTGGGCAAGAAAGTATGTAAAGTTTGAGTAAACACTCCAAACACTTAGCTGTCTGTATTGCACGTCACTGCTGTTTATCCTCGATTCGATCGTAATATCTGAACACACACACACAAAGAAAACATACAGCAATTTATTTTAACATGCTTTAAAAGAAAATAGATAGAATGATAACTTGTCAAATTACCTTCCTATACGACTATTCACTTAGTAAATGTGGTGCAATTTCTGTTGAAGGACTGATAACATGAGTGTGGATGAAATTGACACCATACTTTTATCGTGAACACGATCGCTAACACACTTGCGACAAAATCCAATTCTACAGCAAAATTACACACAAAAGGACAGAGATAAACAGAAATAAGACATTATCAAGTTTTTGAAATCATAACATCATTTCTACCTTAAAGTTATAAAGAAACTAAATTTTCATGAAAGAAATCAACTGCCACTCGAAAGCTTCAAAGGCCGATGCAAAAACAAACTAGACTAGACTTCCAAAGTGCTTTTGAAGAAAGAAAATTTATTTCAAATATAATGTGATTCAAATACAAGTATTCAAGCTACTATTTTTCCATGTGAAAGATTTACTTAGGAGGTAAGAAAGGAGTTTTGAACAGCTACAATCCTGGCCATAAGTTGTTGGGAGACTTACCCTTTTTTGCACGCTAAAACCCACGATTTCAACTATGTCCTTGACGTTTTAGAACAAAAGATGAATAGAAGCAAGTATCATTGACCCCCCTCCCCCTAGTAATGTTGCAAGAAAATGAAACTATTCTGAAGACTAGATCGGATGTTGGAAAAAAAGAAAAAAGGCACAATATAAAGTAATTAGACAGTTGTGTTGGAACTGAACGTGATTGCTGAAAAATCGTTATTATGGGAATAAGACTTGAATATCTATCTTATCGTCCCTTAAGTTTGAGAATACTGTTCTAGGAGGCTATTCTGAAGCTATTGTCAAGGGTTTTTTTCTTCACAATTTTTAGCAACATTGACAGGGGGAGGGGGGTAGGCGGGCTTGCACGGTCTTGGTCTTAAGAGAGGCTGCCTGTGAAGTCATCTGCCGTGAACTGTCCCAACACTTTTGACCAGAATTGTAGATCGATACTTGAATTCATATTGAATCGATGGACATCTGGAAACTAAATTGACCGTCCAACCCCCCTCCCTTCCGGAACTACATTTGAGATGTCTGCATTAAATATACATTGTACCTCTAAACAATTAACTTTATTCAAACCTTATGCTTGTTGGGATCATTTCTGTCAGCTCCAAATTCCAAGTCCATCACTTTTCTNCCCCCCCCCTCTGGAATTCCTAGTTCCCTCCATGGTTGGGGATATTGATATTTTCTGGAACCACACAATGCAAAAAGTTGCTTGAAACAAAAAGAGTTGCTCGAAATACAAGAAGTTGCCAAAAAGGTGCTGAGCAACTGGTGGAAAACCTTAGGCGGAGTTTGGAGAGCGTAGACAAAGTGAAAGAGTTATTCAACCCATACCTTGGAGCAACACCAGCTTTTCAACTGCTCTCTACTCTCCCAAGTGTATAATGTACAAATTAGTGGATGTTCTGTGTTGTTGTAAAAAATAACACAGGCTTCACAGAGGTCTAGAAAAAGTGCTAGTGGATGTAACAGAAAAGTTCGAGTGTATTCAACAGTTTTCTAGACCTCAAAAGTGGATTATTTTCTTTGGAAACATACAGGGGTGGATCCATGATTTTTCTTAGGAGGGGTGCACCACTAAGGAATGGCATAACTGACTGCAGAATACCAGTTATACTAGAAAGCTGCATGCCATCTCAGGGGATGGGGGTGCACACCCCCTGCACCCTCCCCCTAGATCTACCGCTGACATAGGAACACCATGTTCTATTTGGTTTAGAAAATAGCATGAAAAGCAGAAATTTTTACATCTGAGATGGGCCGGTGATTGCGTGTGCACACTGCGTTGGCCTATGATTCCGATTATTTCAGTGACATTTTTTCATTTATTTGTGTCTAGACAATGTTTTACACAAGACTAACAGACATAAACAAATAAGACATGCTTTTAAGTAACTTCAAACGTCTTTTCAGGACATTTACATGAAAATGTTCAAATTTATAGACTTCTTTTCAACTTTTGCTCGGTTAGATGATAAGTTACTTGGGGTAAAAATAGAAAGATTTTTTCACTGTTTTGCAAAATGTAGAAAAAAGGTAAAGAAAGTGATCTTTCATAAGAATCAAAGTGTTCTATGAGCAAACTCGTGAATAATAATGAATATGAGCTAACCTTGACGTAATATGGAATTCTCTTTTCATAAAGGAAAAACTACTGTAAGCAATAACCAAAGCTTCTTTAACTGAAAATAATGATTCTGACGGTGAACTTTTACAAAAATCTTTTCTCCAGACTTCATGCCCACAGCAGAAAGGGTATTTAAGAACTGTTTATGGGAAGGGCTTTTGTTAATGGTGTTATTGATGAAGCTGAAGACGTCAGTGTAGCTTCTTCTAAAAAAAACATACCCAATTTGAGGCTAGACTGCACAAACCATACCCCATATTGAAGCAAAATGGCCAAAATCAATACCCTATTTCAGCCCATATATAACTCATATGAGGGAGTACCCAGGCCCAGGCTCTCCCCTTAATTTTTGTGCACCCCAAAATGTGTAACTACTTGCTGTGCTGGCTTCTGGCTAACTGATTGGATGACTGGCTGACTGACTGATAGAATTACTGACAGATTTACGAACTCGGATAACTGATCGTTGGAAAGACTAACAGATGGGTCTAAGTACACGTATTCGGTTATCACAGTATCTTATAATATTAATGTTAACTTGACACTGAAAGAAGTTAATCTTGCTTTTCCAGATCAGATGCCAACTGGGACAAAGTGGACCAAAGCTTCAAGCAGTCATCTTTAGAAGGGCAGTGTGTCTTATTTTGCAATCCATCTCTTGGAGAAACCAGGTGAACAAAACTCTTGAATAAGCCAAGTTCTGCCGTGGTTAACTGAATTCAGCCTTGCAATGTACATTGTATTCTTCAGTGGTTGATTTGCACAATGAATAGAAGAACTCTCATATAAAACGTTTTTTAGAAGTACAGTTTTAAGCCCATCATGACTGACTGACTAATTCACTGACTGACTGAAAGGCTGATCCATGGAATAATGGACTGACTGACTGACTGACTGACTGATCCACTGACAAAACTGACAGAATGTAGACTGACTGATTGATTGTCTGACTGATTGATTGATTGACGAACTCCCTGACTGCCTCTGACACTGAAAGACTGATGCAAGGAATGACAGATGCACTGACTGACTCAGGGACTGACTGACTGACTGTGAGACTGACACATGGAATGATGGACTGGATTGATTGATTGAATGACTGCCTGATTAACAGATTGATCAAATGTCTGATGGTCTGACTGTCTGACAAACTCACTGACTGGCTGACTGACTGACTCACTGAAAGACTGATTTAAAAAACGACAGATTCACTGACTGATTGACTGACTGACTGACTGACTGGCTGACTCGCTGACTAACTGACTAACTGACTAACTGACTAACTGACTAACTGACTAACTGACTAACTGACTAACTGACTAACTGACTAACTGACTAACTGACTAACTGACTAACTGACTAACTGACTGAAAGACTGAGGCACAGAATGACGAACTGTGTGATTGACTGTCTCATTGACTGATTGACTGACTGACGGACTGACTGAAGGCACTGACTGACGGTTCTGACTGACGGCACTTACTAACTGTCTGGCTTACTGTCTGACTGACTCATTGAAAGACTGGCACGCGGAATGATGAACTGACTGGTTGATTGTCTGTGTTCCTGCTAAGGTCGTGTTAGAAACAGAGAGACTGTAAGCCATCTACAATATTTGCAGAGATCACACAATTTAATGGGGTGATCTTGGTACAGTACATTGCATGTCTGCATTCCATTGGACAGTCGAACCTCACTAAGCGACCACTTTGTGTAAAGTGACCATCTTGAGTCTGTTATACGATTCTATTTTAAAGTCCTCAAAATTGTCTTGTGCAGCCAAATTATTAAGCTGTCATAAACACTCCATCAGTTTTGCAAAAATCATGGGAGGTCGCCTGTGGGTGGTTCGACATTTTACTGTAAACCTTTGTGTGTACGTTTTTCAAAAGACCGTATCATCGCATGTCATTAAATTCTTCAACAAACGCTCATTCAAGATTGAAGCAGAAGGTTTTTTTGTTTTCCGAGATCCTTGCCTTTGCCCGGCGGTTTTGAAAACATTTAAATCAGCAAATCCCTTTTTCTAAAAGGATGCATTATTGCGTGACTTATTTATCTTGTGTTACTAAAAGAACGTAACAATGTCATGTAATACGAGAAGTACAATTTCCTAAGTATTTGACCTTAGCTAAAGCAGAGTTCAAATCTTTTAGTTACAATTTTTCCAAGCGACTGCAAATCGCTATAAGAAAATAGGTCTTAGAAATGCATGTTTTTCTTCCTTGTCTGTTTTTTGGGCAGTCTATTCTTGGGAATGAAAGAAAAAAACCTAAGTTCTTTTGATTTTTTCAGCGGATTTAGAGCGCTTTATAACCCTAGGGGAAACGGCAATTTAAACAACTACTGATCACAAAGCAAACGTTATGCGATGCGTGCCTACTGCGTGGAAAAATTGGCATATTTTGTTTCTACGACTTCGAGCCGAAGTTGTTTTCACAACTGTTATAACTGTGACTTTGACAACAATTTTGTTGCAATCTCGAATGATTTTCTTGATACTACCCAGTTTGGAAATCCTACACTAAAAGTTACGCGCTAAAAATTTGAGCGATAGTTTGTTTGGACACGATCGGTTTGTTTTGCTTCTTCATTTGACGCGCGCGCAACAAATTTCTTTCAGAGCCTTTTTGATTTCCCTTGATAGGTTATATAAGCGGGAAAACGCCAAAAAATAATCAATTCGTTTCCGGTTTCGATTTTTCTCGGGTCTACACACGATATATTTAAAGACGAACCCACAATGAATTTTTAATAGTGGAGAGGTTTTTGAAAAACGTACTCTGAGCCAGTCCCAAAAGTGGACATATTTTTTCTCCTTACAATATCAGTGAGTTGATTTCCAAAACGACCGGAGATGAGAATAACATAAAGATATACTTAACTTCACGATAGTCTTTATGTACCACCATATTCTCAAAACTAAGTTCAAAACGCGTAGGGCTTGTAGTAAGGAAAATTAATGTGCCCAGCTTAGGACCAATACGGTCATGTTTACAGTAATTAGGTCTCAGTAAAACTAAGTGGTACGATTGCAGACTGGTTCTAGTAAACGGTTTGTTTCTTTTACAATGTACACTGCAGATACGTTTAAAAAATATGGAAAACAACTAGGCACCAGGGATTGTCACGCAACTGGACGCAACATTTTGTTACGCTTGGTCCTTTGCGTGACGACCCTTATGGTAATATATTTCGTGCGTTTTAAAATGATGAAAAGACATATATGTAAACGTACATTGACACGAGAAACAAGCTGCTTATGAAAACTAAGGGTGCGTTTCTTTAAGAAAATCCAAGATTAGATTCTTAAATCCGAAAGAATCCGAAAGCGGATTTTGCGTTTCTTTACTAAACAGATCAATCCAAGATCTCTCGGATCATTTTTTATTTTATTTTATTTTAATTAATTGCTACTTACACTGCTTATGATCTGTCGGAACATGGTGCGTCAAAGGAACCGAAGAATCCACTGTGGGCAAGGATTCGCACCATGATCCGAGAGATCTTATCTGTTTAGTAAAGAAACTTATTATATGGCTAGCTCCGAGAGCGGGCAAGATGAATCAAATCCTGCGCTGTGATTGGCTACCCAAGCGAGCAAGATGGAGCTATCTTGCCCGCTCGGGACTACCCGCCGTGACCCGCAAGAAAAATTTCCGCGAAAGCCATATAATAAATCCTTTATTGACCAAGCCTGTTCGGTCAAGATGGCTAGATATTGGCCTCGTTCTTTTTTTGCGAGTTTATGGACCTCGACTCCGTCTCGGTCCATAAACATGCAAAAAAAGAACTTGGCCAATATCCAGCAATCTTGCCCTCACACTTGGTCAATAACCCATAAGTAAAGTGCGCTCTCGGATTCTTTCGGATTTAAGAATCTAATCATGGATTTTGTTAAAGAAACTCACTCTAAGTGTCAATCGTATTGCTAAGTTTTGTTGATTCTTCTCGAGAACTTGGCTTACTTTAGAGAGGTTATCTGGTTCACTTAAATGGTTGGATTGCAAAATAAAACAACATAAGGGAAAGGGTAACAATATTTTATTGAAATAAAAATTGTCTCTGTTGTCCATTACTTTAAGTTAAAAAAAATAATCTAGCCAATCTTGTCCCTGCGTTTTGGGTTGCTTACACTCTGCTGCAAGTTGGTGTTGTTTCTTTAGTCCTTGTTTGAGATTCCAACTTTGAAATCCTGGTCTGTTTTATCTGATCTCTATACCCAAGGCGGGAACAGTTGAACACTTGGGAGAGTTGATCGTTTGCTCTCAAGTGGGGTGGACAGCGTAAAGGAAAGTGAGAGTTTGCTCCCCATGCCTCCGGGGTCTTTGTCTTAATTTGTCACAATGCCACACTCAAATACTTTTGGAGTTAACAAGAAAAAAAATTAAAAAACCAAATTGATAATTTTTTTAAAGATGCCATTAGGCGAGTCATTGTATCAAAAATAAATGATTTGCCGATAAGTTCGCCCTCCCGGACTATTTTGGATGAAAACCCATTGAAGTTGGAAATGTTCGCAACTTGGACAAGAAAAACCGAAGCGCTTAAGTATGGTGCTTAATTCCAGTGCATCACCGTTGAAATCAAAGAAAGAATTGAACACAGAATCCGCCAGTCTGACCTTCCGACCAAACCTCCCACCGACCGTCATTCCACAAACTTCACCAAAGAGCACAAGTCGCTATGAGTCTCTCATCTGTGAAGCTACCATTGTCAGGTATCTCTCTTTAATTTGGATGAAAGAAATTGGCCGATTATTATGGCGAAGAAAGGTTTCGTTTTCTTTTAAAAATAAAACATATTGCCAAATGTTTTAGTTAATTATGCTTATTCAGCTTGTTTGTTTGTTGTCCTATTTCATCTCACGTGACGTTACTCTGGAGAATTTTTTTAATTCAAGTGCAAATCAAATTCCCTTGCGAATAAATGAATAATTTGGAGGACAATTCTCCAGAGAACATCCGTGATCCGAAACGAGCAATGAACATACGAAGCTGAGCGGGTCTTGTTATTTTAATACTAAAACAAGCTAGAGGTTTGAGCTGAATCGCTGCTTACAGTGATAAGAATCGGGAAGTTGATGTGCGTTAAAAATTATATTAATAATTCTGTTTAGGTTGAATAATTATGCGCGCGAAGATTTTAACTAGAAAATTGTTGACTAATAAATTTGGTCGCGATTTTTTTCTTTATTTGGCAGAGTTTTGACTTCAAATGATTTGAAATCCAACTTGCATCGTTAATTTCAATTGCAGAAATTTAATTAAGAATCCCCATTGCAAGAGATTGTAGCATCCTTCTTCTCTGCTCACGCAATGTGTATGCACACATTTTGGAGGAGCATTGCGTGACAATCCGTAAAAAACACCATGGAAAAATTGAGCCTTACCCTACCTAGGAAAGTGCCAGCCCCACACAAAATGCTTATGAATATGAATTTTTATTGTTATTGCAACATATATATTCAAAAATAAAGAAATGCTAGACTGTTTTAATTTTTATCATTCTATATAAATTATATTTATAAACTGTTAGTGAAAGGTTTTGATTCCTGTTTGATTTGTTCGGTTGGTAAGAAACTGAATTAACTTAAGTGCTAAGCTTTAAATAATGATCAATGTAAGATATTTCAGGATTACCCTTCATCAATGCTAATTAGCTGTTTAATTTAATGCTGCCGATTTACTTAACATTTAACCGGCCCACCAATGAGAATTATTCCTCAAAGACCCATTATATGCTAAGTTTCTAATAAATAGCCAATTGACAAATAAGAATTACTCTTGAACACCCCAGGAACTTAAGGAAGACTAGGCGAAAGCTGTCAGCACAAGAATTTCTGGGATTATTTTGGTACCTGGCATGAGCTATGATTGGTTCACAGTTACCAAGGCAGCTATTAACCCAATCACAGCTCTTGTTGGTTACCAAGGCGATTCCAGAGACCCTGGTGTCAAAAGCTGGTGCTCAGACCCCCTAAAGTTTGTGGAGTGTTTGGGAACTTTAAGAATTATGTCTTAAGTTCAATGAAAATGAAACAGAGAATGAAGCTAGTTTAGTTGTGAAATTTCTTGACAGGGAGAATGAAAATTTAAGAAAATGTTTAATAAGAATTTTGTTTTCAAAAAGATGTGTTTTGGTTATAATTGGGCCTATAGGATTTTATTTTAGTTATTTAAAGTTAAAGTTTATTTTTTTATGAAAAACTAGAAAAGAGAGAAACCTGACCTGGTAGCAACCCAATCAGAGAGACCCCCAGAGACTCAACTCAATTTGACGTCAGTTGTGAAAATCCAATCAGGTCACTCCGATGAAATTCAGTGATCTCCTCTGTCTATGCTTTCTCTAGAGATGCACCCTCCTCAAACCCCACAATTCAGCACTACTGTTTTACGTCCTTGGATGTGGAACATTTCCAGATACACTGACTGTGAAAAAGCACCTTGCTGGGCCGGAACTGATGGTGTAGTATTGTGACAAATTAAGTGGAACCCTAACGGCATGAAAAGCAAACTCTCACCTTCCTTCACACTGTCCACACTACTTGAGAGCAAGCAGCCAACTCTTCCAAGTGCCCAAACTGTCCCCAGCTTGAATTACAGTATCAGATAAAGTTACCCAGGATTTCTCAGTTGGAATATTCTCAGAGGACAGAAACACACACCTTCTCAGAGGCAGAGCTTCTGCAACCCAGCAGGGACGCGATTGGCTAGATTTGTGTCTTGGTGTGTGTGGCACCTTCTGTCCTGGAATTAAATAATACCCTAACATTTTTAGTAGATACATGCAAGCTCATTAGCAATATAACTAAACTAAAAAAGAAAAAACTGGCTGTTTCTTGGTGATACACGTCTGAAGAAATCAAGATTAAAATCTTAAGCTACCCGTGAGGGTGTGTGTTTAGGGTACCAAGCAAAACAATCCTAAAGATTAAACAAGAAAACAGTACAAAAAAACCCTACAATTTGTTGAGTGAATTAAGTACTGAAAAAAACTTAAAGGAGGACTTAAAGAGCTGTCAAAATATGACGACTTGCAACACCAAGGAAGAACCAAGAAATCTGGCAAATAAAATTAAAATAAACTACTGTTCATCAACAGTCTGCATTATGCTGTCACTCAAGGCTAAGCAAAAAGGATTATTTAATGTAATGGTGCAAAAGAATAAAAGATGCTGTTTGTAGATCACAATAAAATAAAATAACAGGAAAACAAGAGAAACTAGCGATAACTTCAATTAAAATGCAGACTGTTGATCTAACTTTGCCTAAATTTTACAAATATTACCATAAGCCAGTAATAACTGCATCAAAAATTGAGAAATTGAAAATGAAAACAAAAATAGCCCCATTCCAAAAAAAGAATAATTCCTAAGGGATAAACCACAATTAATTTGGGCTAATTCTTCAATGATATTACCACTCAAACTTTTTCTGCAACCTAGTGTCATATTTTGTGGCTTAAGGCCTAGAACATTTACATTAATGAACATTTTGGTACGTGCTGAAAGGAATAAATTGAGTCAAGAAGGTAAATGTGATGGAGTAGCAACAATAAGGCTTTCATCACACCTAGCTAGTCATTGCAACTTTTGCAGTGCTTGAAAATAACTATTTTTACTCTTGTGTATTTTCAGTTTAGGCAAATGAGCTTGCAGATCTACATGTACTTATGTACAAAGTAATATACACATAAAATAATATATTAAACTAATATAAACAAGGGAAGCAATAGCAGTTATAGCTATTAATGGTGTTTTAAATTTAAAATAGGAAGATTGATAACATTGCAAAAACTAGAAAGCTGGTAAATTTTGTAGCAGCCCACTTACAGTGGTTATGACAACTGAACATGGGATGCAAAATGACCTGTGTTTCCCAGGCCAATTTTTCGAGATGAACAGTTTTTGTCCAAACTGATAGACTGTGAATTTTAAATGAAAAATATTTGACTGACTATCTTGAGATTACTCAATTTGTAATATCGAATGCTTCCCTTGTTTATGAATTAAACAACCACCATCAAGCTGCCAGGCACTTAAAAACAGAAAAGCGTTTGAAAAAGGAAATAAGTCAGTGATTTCAAAAATAATAATTATCTTTTAGCAAGCTTTCCTTTGAGCAGTGAAGAATGTGCAAGCTAAATTCTAAGAATTTTCTCACTTAAAAGTAATTTATCATAACCTGTAATGAACCAAACCCAAATGCAAAAGCAGAATACTGAAAAACTGGTTGTCCTGTGCATGTGCTGAAGCCTTCTAATCTCGCAATTAAGGCTAAGAATGAAACCTTAGTATGTGCCCAATAAAAAAGTCACTAAGCAGTTACCATAACAGGCTTCCTGTTTGCTTTCCCTACTTGCTAAACATACATTTCCAAATTTTAAATTTCAGACTATTTTTTGTTACATTACTTGTGGTTTGCAAATAATGTGAATTTTGAATTGAAGAAATAAACTCCTAAAATTTAGTTGAACATGATTTGTTGTTGTTAAGTTTTGTTTCACCTTTATGGCCCAATAATGATCATGAGAACTGACCAAATAATTGTGAATCACAAGGAAGATTTGTCTTAGTTTGTTTCTCAAAATGATCAATCAGTACCTATTAGAAAAGTATGGAGACAAGATAAGAGAATGTGCTATTTAACCGTTTGTTTGTTCATGAATGAGTTTGAATTTTTCTTTTACAACTTTTGGTCAACTTTTCTAAACAATTAATACTTCAGACTTTGCCTTGGAGCAACTGTACATCACACATCTAAGTAAAAAAAAACACTGCTCAAAGGAGTCTTATACTGGGACCTTCAAACCTAACTCAAAAGGAACAAACAAGGGCAAGAGTAATATTTACTGTTCAGTGGATTCAAATCAGCCAAGCGGAGTGGGTTTCATGATTTACTGGTTCATTGATTGGAGTCAGAGATCTCTGCTGCAGCATGTAGTTCTCTCATGAATATGCATCATCCAAAAAAAGTAAATTTGCCGTGAAAGAGATGGTGGCTGGTCATTGTAAAGTGAGTTATTGTCTGTCTCATGATTTAGTCACTATAAGATGCAGATTGTGGTGTTTGACTTCTTTCTGCAACCCTTCATTGCCAGATGAACACTATGAAGACTAGCAGTAAGCAGTCAAAACATTACAATCTACATCCTAAAGCACCTCATCATGAAACAAACAACAACATTGTCAATAATTTATTTTCAATCGAAATTAATTTATTATGAACACTGCGGTGAAAATTACAGACAATAACAGAGACCTCTGACCCATATAATGACATGCAGTGGGCAGCTAGAGTGTTTTTTTTTTTTAAAAAAGGCACTTGTTTGAACACTGGTGGCACACACACCTCTACACATAACAGTAATATTATCTGACTCAATGCTAATCCTTGCATTGGTATTTGGCTTGTGCAGTTTCTGTAGTCAGCAAAGCTTTGGTGATCCCAGGGGGTGCTCGGGATTTCAAGTGATGGGGTGATTGAATTGGGGCAAAAATCTAAACCACCAAAAATCCCTAGGGATTCCCCTATGAGGCAATCATGGAAGAAGTCGGTAGTACCTGGCAGTATCGATAACAGTCTTGTAATTTAGTATTCTACACTGAAGTGCTGAAGTCACAAGTAGTTTTTAGGTTTGTTGAGGTCATGAATAAGTTGTCTGTAAGGCGTAAGCTGGTAGATCTTGTTGTCAGATGCTGTCAGTCTCAATCCATCTATTGTCAGTTAAGTTTGTATTGGTTATGTCTGAGGTCCGTGTGAGAAACGCAGGGAAAGAAAGGACAGCCCTGGTTTTTATGTAGTGGAGTGATACAGCAGTGATTGCATGTGACTGAGTGGCATGTTGAAGACGAATGTCTGGCCCATTACCCCCAAGGACTGATGGCAAAAAGTGATAATGAAAGTACATGTACATGTACTTGTTGGTGTCAGATTCAATCAATCTGTTGTGAGTTACAATAAGTTTGTGTTGGTTCTGTTTGAAGTCACAGTTAATTGTTTATTGCCTTGTTGAGGTATTGAAACACCAGTTGTTGGGTGAAAGAGAAGTACAAGCCATGTAGTTGTTAGCATCAGTTGAGAGTTGTTTGTTCTAATAAGTTAGTGACTGTATATGTTTTAGAATTCATCAGGTTGTTGCTTGAAACCAATGCAAGAAGTTTGCCAAGAGTCTTGAAGGTAAAGAAATAACCAACTACCAACTACCTGTTGTGGAACAACAGCTGGGTGAAAAACCTCCCCGTACGTCCACTTGCCCCTAGGAGGAAAACCCCGGGCCAGCTGTACCCCACATTCAAAGGCCTCCCGGGCTGGGCCAGAAAAATACATGATCAAATAGACATCTACTTAAACCGTCTTGTTGTCTTGTCTTGGTTTTTGCTAGTCTCTCCAAAGTCCATGCTGTCTTGTAATGACCTCAGCTGTCCAGCATTCTGTGATGAAACAACCAAAATGATAAATTTTTGGGAATCCAATCTTAAGCTCTAGACATCAAGAAAGACAGATGTTTAACACAATTTGTTTTGGTTTTGCAGATCAAGAACAGTACTCACATGCATCAAAAGTGACAAAGTGAATTTAATGCTACGGAATTAGAATCCAATTAGCTCAAAGTTGTTTTGGTGCTATTAACATATGTACTTCTTTTAAAATTTACTTGGTTTTACTTTTGTCTCATTAATTTTCATGTAATTTTTTATTGATCAGACTCTTGATTATAGTATCATTGTGCTCTTTATCTTGGTCCTCACAAGTCAGGATAATCGCAGTTTGACTGCACCCCCAAAATTGGATTAGCCCTTGGTGGGGTTGCTAAGCTAGAAATAACGTTACTAAGGATCAAAAACTACTTAAAGGAACTTGTTAGTGCTTTTTAAAACTTTAAATTGGTGTCATGAGGAGCAATGACACTTGAATTGAATGGAGCTACAAACATGCAAAATTAAATTTGCAGTTTTTGCATTCGATGAAAAGGAGAACACAGTCCTAATGCAGACTGAATTGAGATTTTAAGGGACAACTGGTCTTGGACGCAAAATTGGCCACCCGGGGCTGAAAACATTGCATACGAGTGCATATGAGTCTGTTTTGGTTTCTTGATCGATTTGCTTGTTTGTAGCAAGGCTTGCAAAATTCCCCAGGTGCAAGAGAATTCAGGACAGGTACAATGAAAGTTATGAATTTTATGAAAAATAATGATAAAATTCATAACTGCACATTAAACCAAAATTGATTGAATTTTGTTAATTCACAAAGGAAATGGTGAATCCTTGCCCAGAGTGGATTCTTTGGTTTCTTTGATGCACCATGATCCGTTTGATCTTGGATTAATCTGTTAAGTAAAGAAATTCAAACTTCTGTTTTTGGATTCAATCGTGAATTCTTAAAAATAATTTCAGACACTGTGTACCAAAGATTTCTTGGCTGAATGGAAAGCCTTACTGGGAAGCTTTGAAGTCATATTAACATGATTGTGTTACATGCTTAGCAAGAACTACTTTTTGTATGGTAGGAGAGTTGACAATTGAAAATAATAAAAAAGTTATTATTGGTGCATTTAAAAATTGTAATGGGCTTACAGTAATTTATTATTAATAAACATGCCAGTAGTTGGGTGTTCCAAAGTGCTCAACATGAGCCATGAGGAGATTCTTCCCAGCTAACATCACTTTGCGCTAAATTTGATAAGGAGTAGGTTACAAAATAAGCATGTTTACCTGGTGGGTGAGGGTCTGCACATTTTGATCTTTCCACTGTCCTTCAACACTTCTCCACTGTCTATCAAGGTTTGTCCACTGTCCATCCAGATGATCTGAAGTTGATTCAACAAATTATCAGAAACAAGAACACTTTTATTATTAACATTGACCAGGCCCTGGTTGTTCAAAAGGTGGATAACACTATCCATAGGAGAAATCACTATTCAGCAGATAGCATGGTTTATTTTGTCAAGACCTATCCTCCAAATAGTGATTTATCTGGTGGATAGCATTATCCAGCCTTCGAACAACTGGGACCTGGTCTCTAACTATTTACAAATACAATGTACTTCACAGAGTCTGATTACTGATAATTGAAGGCTTTCGTGCAAAAAGCGCATATAGAGCTTTTTGGGCCGATTTTTTTTTTTTTGCAGGATGGAGCTAATTTTTGGCAGACTGACTTGTTTTGACATGAAAAGCATCGTTGCATAATTGGTTTTGTTGATTTGCACTGATGATACCAGTACTGACAATACCAGCGGTTGAACTGGATATGTTTTGAAAATTTAAGGTGGCTCTGAACACCATGTACAGAACCATTTTACGCTTTGCTTTGATGTCTTATCCAGCTAATCAAACCTGATAATACAAAATGGAGATTTCCGAGCTCATTTCGGAGTTATTAGCAGTTCAAGCTAAAATTAAAGGTGTTTTTAGCAGGTCATACTGTTGTCATGGTAACGTATTGTGTAGTTCCAGAAAATATTCATACCTCCCCCACAGAAGGGATTTTTTCTAAGACACCCACCCCAAACCCTCTGGAGATTCCAATTAAGCTTCACACATTTCTTTAAATTTTTTGGTCTTACAGAACCCCCAACCACCCAGGAAATTTCATTCCCTTTTGTGGGGGGAGTATGGATATCTTCTGGAACTGCATATAATTTGTGTCACAAACATTATAACAACACGCCTACCAAAGATTGGGTAGTTTTGTGATACCATGGTTGCAGCATCAATTGATAAAGAGAGGTTATAATGACCTATCAAAATCTTGGAAAGTGCTGGAAACTGTGGCCAGCCACCTTAAGTTGAATTTGACTTTCTTAACACAGAGAATAAAATGTAAAGATGTCATGGACAGGAAAATAATTGCTTATGATTGTGCTTTAATCTTCGAGAGCCATCGTGCGGGAAGCCGCCACGAGTGAGAGTGTTGCAATCACCAAGACATCACATTATAGGGGCATCATATTAATGTCTTTATGCTCAGTTGTGTATGGGGAATCTTGTTACATCTTTCCCCTTACAGAACAAACAAATCAAGATAAAATACTAAGAAATATGGTGCTGGCATTTGTGTACAGTCTCACTGTTGGGCTATCTGAACACATGTTCGCATTTGGTAAGGTAACCAAACTTATTTTTGTGCCGTTACATAGTCCTTGTGCCAAACTGGTGTTCGGCAGATACAACTAGACCTCCTGAGATCATTGTTTTTTGCATGGTCAGTGGGGGGTGCCTCACTGCTAGGGTCAGAGGGTGTAGCCAGGTTGTCTTTGGGGAGTGTTGGCAAAACCTCGTCAGCTTCCGGATGCACAGCAGTGGGCGTTCATTTGTTTTCTGGATGTGTCTGCGGTTGCGCCTGTAGACTGTGTTACCCACCTTTACCATGTAGCTCCTGTTTTCCAGCTTTTCAGTACAGGTTCCTGGGCTCCAAGTGTCCTGGTCAGGGAGTTTCATGCATACCGTCTAACCAGGTGTGATGGTCTTCAGTGGCTTAGCAGTCCTGTTGTAATAGTCCTCTTGCCGCTGCTTCGTCCCTACTAGTGCCTGGGTAACAGCTTTCATGTCATAGCAGGGCTTATGTAGGCTGTCTGCAACCAGTAACAGGGTTCTGCATCGGCACCCCATAAGACGTTGCACAGGACTCGTTCCGATTCCTTCAGTCGGAGTATTGCGCCGGTCTAATAGGGCCAAAAACTCTGACTGGCCAGCATCCTTGCATTTCTTGAACAGTCACTTTACGGTTTTGATGGCATTTTCGGCCTTGCCATTGGACTGTGGGTACCTAGGTGATGACGTCACATGGTCAAAACCCCAAGTTTGAGGAGAACTGAGCTCCGTTGTCGGTCACAAGAACCTCTGGAATGCCAAACCCTGCGAAGACTGCTTTGACCTCCTTTATGATGGACCTTGATGTGGTCGAGGTAATGTGTGCAACCTCTATGTAATTGCTGTAATAGTCTGATGTGACTAGAAGGGTACGCCCATCCAGATCACAGAGGTCAACAGCCACTTTGGACCAGGGTCTTGCTGCAAAGTTATGTTGTTGGATTGGTTCCTTGTTCTGCTCACTGTGGTGCACCATGCAGACATCACACTTGGTGATGTATTCCTTCAGTTCTGTTGTCATCCATGGCCAGTAGAGACTGTCGCATGCTAGCCGGATGCAGGCCTCTACACCGATATGGGATGTGTGGGTTGCTGCCATTAGTTCCTTGTGAAGTGAGACTGGTATGACCAGTTTAAAAACTAATTTGCCCTGAAGGGTGAGCTCATCTCGTATGTCAAAATAGGGATGCAGGCACTGGGCGACATCTGCTCTGTTCAAGGGTCAGCCATGCTGTATAACCGATCGCAGTTCCTGGAATACTGGATCATCCGCTGAGGCATTCTCAATTTGATGCCATCAGGAATCACTGACAGGATGGGAAGCTTTGTGGTCTATCTCCTCTAGCTCCTACACAAGCACAGACATGTGCACTTTAGGCAGGAAGGCTCTGCTGAGGGTGTCCGCAAGAAACATCCTTGCCTTTCTTGTATCTTATCTCTAAGTTGTATCTTTGAAGGCAAAGGAGCATTCACTGAAGGCGTTGTGGTGCTGAGATGAGTGCTTTGAGGACAATGACCTCCAAGGGCTTGTGATCTGTTTCGACTGCAACTACATCCCTGCCGTAGATGTATGTATCAAATCTCTCACACGCGACAACAATAGCTAACAGTTCTTTCTCCATCTGCGTGTAATGCGTCTCCGCTGGTGTGAGAGCTCTGGAGGAGTAGGCTACGGGCTGCCCATTCTGCAACAGTGCAGCTCCTAGACCTGACTTTGATGCATCGCATTGAAGCGTAACTTCGTCGCTGAGGTTGTAGTAATGCAGAACTGGGGTGCAAGTGACTACTTTTTTCAGTTGGCTAAGCGTTGTGATCTGTGCATCTTCCCAGCACCATTCAACATCCTGCTGTGCCAGCTTTCGTTAAGGTTTAGTTATATCCGACAGGTTGGGGAGAAATTTACTGAGGTATTGCACCATGCAAAATAGCCTTCGCACTACTGTCTTGTCTGTAGGGGCGGGCATGTTGCAGATAGCCTTAACCTTCCCTGGGTCCACTCACAGGCCATCACCGGTCGCCACATGTCCAATAAAAGACACTTCTGTTTGTTGAAGTGTGAGCTTTTCAATGTTAAGTTTGAGTCCATGATCCTGGCACAGCTGAAGGAATGCCATCAGGTTCTTGTCATGCTCTTGCGTCGCTTGCTCGTGTTTCTCCGTAACCAACAACGACAAAGTCGTTGGCCACCACTTCAACGTGCGGCATCCCCTCAATCAGCTTGTGTATCCTGCGCTGGAATATCTCTGGGGCTGGCCGGATCCCAAAGGGCATGCGCTTCCACCAGTAAGTTTTGTGAACACCTTGGCTCTGTGCAAACAGGTTGCTACGTCCTCTGTGGCTGGAAGAGGGTAGTGTTCTCTCTGAATTGCTTAGTTCAGGTCCTTGGGATCCAAACACAGCCTTATTTTCCCATCCTTCTTGGGAACTACCACGAGGGAACTGACCCATGGCATTGGTGTCGTTACAGGGGCAATGATGTCTTGTTCCACCATACAGCCCAGCTCAGCTTTAAGCTGTTCATGTACTGCAACAGGTACTCGGCGGGATGGATGCTGGACAGGCCTCACCGTAAGTCTAGTTGCCCGACCTCTTCTGCAAAAACTTCTGGGAAGTCTTTCAGAAGACTTTCTTTCTACATGTCCCCGTTTGGATTATCCTCCACTGAGTAGACTGCCGCATTCCCTGTTGTTGGTTTGTTGATAGCATCATTATCGTTGTATTGGACAATGTTCATGCCAATACAGGCCTTTCGCCCTAGAATGGGGCGAATGTCTTTGTGGTCGACCAACTTGCAATCTAATAAGCACTTTAAACTCTCACGCCACACTCTCAAAGTGACTTGTCCAACGACCGGAAGTTGGGAACTGCCATAGGCCAAGATCGTTGAGTTTTAGGGCTTGACCTCTGTTGTCGGAAACGTCTTGTTAGCATGTTGCGTGACAAATAGGGCATAGCGATTTCACATTGATGTAAACTGAGCTAGTAGATAAGGATTGGAACTCGAGTGTGATCTCAACACTCCAGTGGCAGACCCGCGCTTAAACCGACAGGCTCAGGATTTCCGCCCTAAAAGAGATGCAGCATCAGCAGCAAGGGTACGAATGAAACAACTTGCGGATGCTGAGCAATGTGAACTATGAACAGCAATCAAACAAGTTGCGGATGTTGAACAATGTGAAATACGAACGGTAAATCAGTTCGTGAAAACTGATCCATTAGCAGTAGAATATATCATTGTTTTGTTTGAGGGAATCAGTACACAGCCTGAACTGTGAATTTTGAAATCGTCAATAGGAAGTGACGTTGATCGAGGACTGATTATCGTTTTGTTACCGCTCATATGTGATTTAATAGTTCAAGACTCAAATCGCGTGATTGAAACAGAATTATGACATATGCTTCGATAGCGAACCATATGAGGGG